TGTCAAAAAAAAAAAAAAAAAAAAAAAAAAAAAAAAAAAAAAACCAAAACCATTTGTGTACTGTGTGTGAGTGGATCAAGACCACTTTCTTACCTGAGTTCCAAAAATTAAACTCCGGTTAACCCCCACCCATTCTTTTGAGACAGGGTTCTATTTTGCAGCCGAGATGGTCTGGAATTTAAGATTTTCTTACCTCGGCATCCACAGGTGTGCTACCACAGCCAACTTTTTTCTTTCCTTTCCCTTTCCCTCCCTCCCCCCCTCCCTTTTCTTTTCTTGCCCCAGCTGTCCTGTAATTTACTATATAGACCAGACTGGCATTAAACTCTCAGAGATCTGCCTGCCTTGGCCTCCCAAATGCTGGGATTAAAGGTGTGCAGGACCATGCCTAGCTCTTTAAACTTTTGATTTGCATGTGTTAATTGTAAAAGACAATGGGAAGCTGTGACTAATGGTTTACACCTTTAATCCCAGCTAGGAAGGCTGAGAGGATCTTAAATTGGAGACTAGCGTAGGTTAATATAGCAGGACCCTCTCTCAAACCAACAAATTTATTATATTCTCTCATTCTCTCTCTCTCCTCTGATTTACCCCATTACCCTGTGTTGACCACCTCTATTCCTCCATTTTTTTTTTTTTTTTTTTTTTTTTTTTTTTTTTTTTGGGGGGGGGGCTGATCTCTGGGCCAAACAGCCCTGGAACTTCTGGAGGAGCCAAGGATAACCTTGAGCTCAGGAACCTCCCACCTCTATCTCCCAATCTCAATTCTTGAAACGTTTTATCACCAGAGTTCCTGTACACCACAGCACCACTGTTTTGGCTCTTGGTTATCTTCTGAGGGGTGGTTATCTCTTCTTCCTCAGTCTCTCCACTGGAATGCCTCAAGGGCTCAGCCTTGGTCCAATTATTCTTACTCCTTAAATTCCAACCATATACCAAAATCTCAAAATTTGTGTCACTAATCCACCCCTCTCCTCAGGGCCTGACTTTCCTACTTGTATAAGTAAAACCGAATCAGGGACCCCAGCCCGATCTAGAGTTCCGGACTCAGACAAGGCTACATACACGGTGACACCCTGTCTCTAAACAAAAGGCAAAATCTTCCCAGAAACGCACAAGACACCTTCAGGCTGGCCTGGGCTCAACCACACCTGTGTCAGCTTAGACCTATATGAAATTAACATACGGAGGTGGAGCTGATGGATGTGACCAAAGGGGAAAAAGGAGTGTGAACCCAAACATCTAGCCAGCGAGGCAAAAAAAAAAAAAAAGCACTTTGAATGCAAGAGTAATCACCTCAAACAATTGAACTTAAGTTCCAAGGAGGAGGAAAAATTTAGGGAGAACATACTGCCCCCCTCCCTTCCGCAATATTAAATCCATTTGGACAACACCAGTAGGGGTGGGCTAACAGCCTGGGGTGGTGGCCCACTCCTAGAGCGGCAGGAGGTAGGTCAACAATTAAGACTTGAGGCTAGCAAGGGCTTCCAAACAAAAACATAAACAGCAACAACAAAGCAAATAGAGGCAACTGATATTTCCCTAAAGAAAACTGATTGTTTTACACCGAAATATAAAGCCTTCCGTATGCCAAGTTCTGATGCTCCAAGCACCAAAGCTCAGAAGAGGCCTAGAAATGTTCTGGGTGTGTAAGAGGGTTCTGGGGACTCAGTTGCAGGAAGGGCTACTCCCACTCCTGCGTGGGGCGAGACTCGGAGCCCAGGGAGGTGGTGAGCCTGGGAAGCCACCACACTCCATGCCGCCACCCACGAGCCCCTCCCCCACAGCCCCACTCACGTTTCTGCGTGGACAGGGGCAGATACGACGTGGTGAACGACAAGAAACACTCGTTGCCCATGTCCCAGTCCAGCAAGCCCGGGACCTGGCCATGGAGGCTGGCCCAGAAGTCCGGGTCCTGGAGTTTGGGGTCCACTTTAAAGGATAGAGGACGCCAGGCCGCAGGGTGCGAGAGGCGGAGACTCGCCTGCCTGTCTGCATGGAAGGTGCTTCCTCAAACACCCCCGGCAATTGAGTGGGTGGGAGCGGTCAGGTGTGGAGCGCCCCTCCAGTCTCTCCCATTGCCTGCCTCAGGATCCACCCTGCGCTCGCCCGCCCGCTCGCCCGCTCGCAATCACTAGGCTTTCCTCCACCTGTGGATGGGGGGCGCCCGGTAGAGCGCTTCTTTCCGGAGTTCGAAGCCCCTTACTGCCTAAATCCACCTGTGGATGTGGCGCAGCTGGTAGAGCGCTTCTTTCCGGAGTTCGAAGCCCCTTACTGCCTAAAACCGGATTTCGTACTACACACCTATAATCACACTGGGTGGAAGCACAAATTCAAATTAGTACACAAGAGTAGTCTAGTTACCAGAGACCCTGGCTCAGGGGGGTGGTATTGGAGGGTGGGAAGAGTTAAAATGCGGGGGCGTGGTGGAGCAGGCCAAAGGTGCTAGACCAGCAGAACTTAAAAAAAAAAAAAAAAAAAAAAAAAAAAAAAAAAAAAAAAAAAAAAAGAAAAAAAGAAGGGTGTAGTAACTTCAGGCCTTTAATCCCAGCACTCAGGAGACAGAAGCAGGCGGATCTCTGTGAGCATGAGGCAAATTCCAGGACTACTAGGGCTACACAGGGAAACCTTGTCTTGAAAAAGCCAAAAAAGCAAAAGTTTATATTTCATCAAAGTTTTATGCAGTTTATCTAAGATTACAACCTTAGTAGGTGGTAGAGCTGAGATTAGCAATTTGGTTTTTTAAAGTTTGTTTTTAATTTCAAATTTACAAAAATATACTATATGCTGTAGAAATTTCTTTCTTTTTCTTTTTTCTTTTTTTGGTTTTTGGGTTTTTTTGTTTTGTTTTTTTGAGACAGGGTTTCTGTGTGGCTTTGGAGGCTGTCCTGGAACTAGCTCTTGTTGACCAGGCTGGTCTTGAACTCACAGAGATTTGCCTGCCTCTGCCTCCCGAGTGCTGGGACTAAAGGTGTGAGCCACCACCGCCTGGCTTGTAGAAATTTCTTTACATCCTTATTAACTTTTTATTCATTTAACCATTTATTTGTCTTAGTACTGGGAACTAATGGGCCTTTCTTGTGCTAGGCAAGTGCTCTACCATGCAACTCTAACCCTCGGCCCCTATGTGTAAATGCATGCATGCACATACAGTGTTTTGAAAATCCCATCCTACTCTTGTAGAGGCTGGACTTTGAATTCTGTCCTGAGACTAGCTAGAGAATCCTGACCCTCTTTCATCTACCTCCCAAGTGCCAGGATTACAGGCATGCATCACCATATTCAGCTCCTCCTTATATATATTTTTACATTTTATTTATTTTATGTGTGTGTGTGTATGCATGTTAGCATTTGTGGTGCAAGTGTGGAGGTCAGGGAACAACCCGGGGGAGTTGGTTCTTTCCTACTGTTTGGATCCCAGGGGTGGAACTCAGATTGTCAAGTTTGGTGGCTAGTACCTCTACACTGGGCCATTTTACTAGTCCTCATTATGTAGTTTTCTTTCTTTTTATTTTTATTTGTTTGAGACATGGTCTCACTATGTAGCTCTGACTGTCCAGAATTTACAACGTAAGCCAGGCTGGCCTCAAATTCAAAAAGATCTACCTGCCTCTGCTTCCCAAATGCTGGGATTAAAGGTGTGCTGTTACTATGTCCAGCTCCTCATACTGCATTTTTTTATTGTTGATGAACTGATTGATGCTGAGTATAGAACCCAGGGCCTTAGGTAACTGCTCTGCCACTGGGTTTGTATCTCCAGCCCTTCAAGATATGTAATTTCTAATGAATTTTTTTAGGAGTAGTGTCTCAACAGCATATCCTTTCATCCAGAAACACTTTAGTTGGTGTCTCCTAAAAACAGAGATATTAGCCTATGTAGACAAAATGCAAGAGTAGTAATTTTTTGTTGTTGTTGTTTTTGTTTTTGAGACAGGGTCTCGCTGTGTAGCTTTTGGAGCCTATCCTGGCACTCGCTCTGGAGACCAGGCTGGCCTCGAACTCACAGAGATCCACCTGCCTCTGCCTCCCGAGTGCTGGGATTAAAGGCGTGCGCCACCAACGCCCGGCTTAGAGACGGTCATACTGTGTAGCTCTGTAACTCACTATGTAGACCAGGCTGGCCTTGAATTCACCTCCCAAGTGTTAGGATTGAATTTTTAAAAGATTTTTTAAAAATTTATGAATGTATATTTCCATGTGTCTGTGTGAGTGTATATGCACATGCACGTGGGTACCCTTGAAGGCTACAAGAGGGTGTCCTATTCCTAGTTGCTGGAGTTACAGGATGATTGTGGGTGCAGGTACTGAGACCTGAACTCCCGTCCTCATGATTGAACAGCAAGTGGCTTTACCTGTGAGCCCTAAAAATCAGAAAATTTAACATTGACTCAATACTGTATTTCATTTATACCTCTTACTCAAGATGGGCAGTGGTGGCACATGCCCTTAATCCTGGCCCTCAGGAGGCAGAAACAGGCAGATATCTGTGAGTTTGAGGTCAGCTTGGTCTACACAGCAAGTTCCAGAACAGGCTCCAAAGCTATGGAGAAACTGTCTCAAAAACAAAAACAAAAACAACAACAACAACAACAAAAAACCAATAAACCCCCGCTCCCTAAAAAACCCTCGAATTTCACCAGTTATCCCAACAATGTTTTTTGTTTTGTTTTTGAGAGAGAGTCTCAATGTGTGGCCTTAGCTGTCCTGAACTCAGAGATCTGCCTGCCTCTGCCTCTCAAGTGCTGGGATTAAATGAATGAGTCACTCTGGGCAGTGATAGTTTATGCTTTTATCCCAGCACTTGAGAGGCAGAGACTATTGGATCTCTGTGAGCTCTAGGCCAGCCCATTGTATCTACATATTGAGTTCCTAGCAGAGAGACCCCCATTAAAGAAAAAAAGAAGAAAAACAAACAATAACAAAATGATACATGAGTCAGCATGGCCTCCTGATTTTTGTTTTGTCTTTTGAGATAGGGTTTCCTCTGTGTATCCCTATGTACATACCCAGTCTGATTTACATAGTGAGTTCCAGGATAGCCAGAACTACAAAAGTGAGACTCTTGTCTCAAAAAACAACAACAACAACAACAAAAAACAACCTTTCTTTTTACAGAAGGGCTCTTGTGTGTTGCCCAGGCTGGCTTTGACTCCCTGGGCTCCACTGCTGTATCTCCCTTTTTCTGCTCTTCATTATCCCTATGAGGTGAGGAAAATTCTGTAAATGAATAGTGATGAGATCAGAGTTGGGGGTCAGATCTCTGGCAGCCCTGACAAGCCAGCCTTGGCAACCCAACTTCCATGGGCCAATTAAAAAAAGATAAATTAATTAACAGTGAAAAGCAGTCCAGCCTTTTAATCCCAGCCCTGAGGAAGCAGAGCCAGGCAGATCTCTGTGAATTTAAGAACTGCCTGGTCTACAGAATGAGGTCCAGGATAGCCTGGGCTGTTACATGGAGAAACCTGTCTCAGAAGAAAAAAAAATAGTGAAAAGCAGAAAAAAGAGGCATATTCAATGTAGGCACATTGGAAAAGGAGACAGAGATCTAATGGACTTCCCTCAAAGTCTGTCTCCAGTATTCTTTTTCTTTTTTTCTTTTTCTTTTTCTTTCTTTCTTTCTTTTTTTTTTTTTTTTTTTTTTTTTTTTTGGTTTTTTGAGACAGGGTTTCTCTGTGTAGCTTTGGAGCCTATCCTGGCCTGCACTTTGGAGATCAGGATGGCCTTGAACTCACAGAAATTCACCTACCTCTGCCTCCCAAGTGCTGGGATTAAAGGCCTGCACCACCAACGCCCGGCCTGTCTCCAGTATTCTAATATGAATGGGAGGTTTAAGCCCATCTATAGGGTTCTAATACAGAGGCACTCTAAGAAGCCCAGTCGGGTGTGGTTCCGTGTACACAGGTCCATCATTGTCTGGACTCTGGTCTCCTGCAAGGGGGTCTGACAAGTTGTAAGTTTTTCTCTGGAAGACAAGTTCCTCTTCTGACTACTCCCAGGGCCTTGGGCTCTCCTCCTGACATTGGGTTTCAGTCAGAGAGACAAAGGAGGGACTCAAGATTCTCTTAGTATACCCTTATCTCGGCCAGGCTGGTTCCAGCCAAGGTCACAGAACAATGTAAAAGTACAAACTGCCAGAGCTGAGGGTGGGGCTCATACAGTCTGAGTTCATCCCCAATATCACCAAGACCACCACCACCCACAGAGGGAAAAACAACAGACTTAACAGTAATAAATCATATGTCAGGTGTGTTGGTCATTGCTAGACTTGGGTGCACAGTGGAATCTCTTGTCTTCATTCTGAATCAGAACCCTTTCCATGGTGCTTGATTGTGCTGTAGTTTTGCTTGCCAGTAAAGTGCTCCTGCTATCATACAAGAAGCCAAAACATCACCTCTTCAGTACATATCCTCTTTTTTTGTTTTGTTTTGTTTTTCGAGACAGGGTTTCTCTGTATTGCTTTGGAGCCTGTCCTGGAACTCGCTCTGTAGACCAGGCTGGCTTTGAACTCACAGAGATCCGCCTGCCTCTGCCTCCCGAGTGCTGGGATTAAAGGAGTGAGCCACCAATGCCCGGCCAGTACACATTCTCTATGACCGGCCTGGCCTCTAGCTTCAAGTCAGTCAGGTTCATACTGTAAGGATTCAGGCATTCCGCTGGCCTGCCCGGTCACCTGGCAGAATGCATTCAGGCAGTACCTGGTCAGCCCAGGGTTCCATGGTTGCATAGTCTGCACGTAGGTGCATAGGACCCCTTTAAAAGACAGACCCTGCCCTCTTAGCTCTCTTTCCCGCTGTTCCCCTGGGGCAGACAGGACTTTTCCTGTCTCCCTTCTCTCTCTGTCTCTGTGTCTCTTTACCTCTTTTCTCTTTCCTGCCCCCTTCCTCCCCTTTCTAATAAAACTTCTCACTAAGCTCTGTCTGCCTGACA